CACTGCCTCAGTTGGCCACGGTGAGTCATTGCAAGAGCCAGATATACATTCAGTCACCTCCAAACGATGCTTAACGGAGTCGAATGTATGGCGCATTTCTCCGAGATTGATCAATGCCGAGTGTTTTATTTATTATTATTGTTTTTAGCTAATCGATGGCTTCTTTGGGAAGCCCGGATGCGACCCAAGCTGCCTTTCTTTCTTTGTCCAATTCTTTCTTCATGTTGTTCTCCTTGTTCACTGGACGTCCAAGATACACATTTTAGGTGGCCTCTGCAATTAGAGAACCATCAATTTGATCCCATCTCTTTTGCTTCATGGATTGCCATGAACTGGGTCTTCATTCGATTTATTTGTAACCCGACCTTTTCTCCTACTCCATTGATCTCATTGATCATCGTCGTTGTTTCCCTGGTACTTCTTGAGACGATGTTGTCGGCGAAACATAGGTTTGACAGGAATTTTCCATCTCCATCTTGGGGTCGCATTATCGAACCCCTTTTTCCTTTCCTTTTGTAAACATACGGTGGCACGTCGATGGAAAAGCTGTATTTTCGTAGTGCATTTCTAATGATGGTCAGATTGAGTTGCTATGTTGAACGGGTTCACTCATTGGTCGATGAACGCTAATAGGACTGCATTCGTTTCGACACCGTCAAACGCTTCTTTGTAGTCGTCAAAATTCAGGAGCCAGGAGATATAGAATTTCTGACAAACTTCATTGACCCTGGACACAGTTTGGATGTGGCACATGCAGCAGAATCACTTTCCAAATCCTGATTGGTCAGCTGGTTTTACCTTGCCCAATGTATTTAATATGCGCAACAAGATAATGTTCATGAAGAACTTGTAGAGTACACTCAAAAACACACCGATTGATAATCTTAACCTTTTATTTACTGTCTACTCTTTTTAATATCAGGGTATAATGCGAAATATAACTTCTATGTTGGTGAGAAATTTGTAAAACTCCAGACCGCAGGTGTACGCGGTGGGGAACGAACGCGATATTACCATTTCCAGGGGCTAACGCGTTCACTACCACACTATGCGGGTTCTTCATCTCGCCTGTCTCTCAACTAACCTTGCATTCCGGAGTTTTGCAAATATCTCAGCATCATAGAAGTTATATCGGATGATAGTTGTTAAAGATGTTTTTGCCCGCCATTGTGGAAAAGTGAGCAGGATAACCGTGTAGAATGTTCTCCATGGATCTGGAATTTCTCTTTTTGAAGGTAGGACGTTGTACGGTCTGCGAGAACAACATTGTGGCTTCCAGGCTTCCAGTTCTTAGCAAATCGGCAGTGACATTACCGGGTTTTTATGCCTTGCCTTTTTCCATGTTTTCTATCGCAGTTCGAACCTCACGGGGAAAAATTTCAGGCGGTCTTTCTCCAGCGGTGATTTCACGGTACGAGACGAGAATTGTGGAAAGGAGAAAATTGGTGGAGGACTTTCCCGCTATTAATTTCATATCATGGGAGAAAAATTTGGCGACCCAATCTTCCTTCATTACGGCTGAAAGCAGAACATTATAATTGCGCAACTCCCGGCTGCGTTTTTTCGGGCTGCTTCTTTTTTGTGCTGTTTCTAACAGCTTTTTCTGCCCGTAGCAATATAGATATTCCTACAGTGCTCTTCAGCAACTGGCATTTATTGCTAGCCGGATATGCGTGTTGGAGTAGGATTGAACTTCACTTTCCTTCTTTTCCCAATCAATTCATTAGTGGTAATGGAGATGCGTTGTGGTCTTCTTGCTTGAGGAACTGAGGCGAATTCGCCACAACTTTTAGATCCTTCGACAAGTGGCTCTTAGTTTTCGGTTGAGTCTTCCTTAATCTCTGTTAAACACGTTTAAATAGGATTTTGTTCAGAATGCTTTCATCATGTACAGTAAGGCTTCTTCTTCGTGGTCGATGACATTGATTCTTTTCTACCTTACGGTCCAATCGAATCCTTGCGCCAAGAGGGAGATGATCGGAACCACTTTAAGCTGCCACCATCTTTGTTTTTGTCAGAACACAGTCGTTTATTAGTCGTGCCGTTCGATGACTCTCATGCTCAGCGATGATTTTTTTTTTCTTTTGGAAAAAGGAGTTTCCATGGAAGTGGAGTGCTGCAGATAGGAGTCCTGCAGAACGGTTTCCATCCTCATTTCTTTCTCTTAGTCCAAATTTTCTGGTTATACGTTCACTCTTGTTGGCCTTTTCTGTTCTAGAGTTGAAGTCACCGGCAACATACTTGTGATACGCTTTCTCATTGTGAATAACGTACTCCCAATAGAACTCATCTAGTTCGTACTCATCAGTTACATCGGTGAGAGAGTAACAATTGATGATAGTGATCTTCTTATGACGCGCTGGTTGAACACGGAGGGAGATTATGTCAAAGTAACAGATCTCTTAAGAGTCGACGAGATAGACAATGGACGGCTAGAGGGCAAGGTATGCGCCATCGACAACTCGTGATGGGACCTTAACTTTGTGGCCGACAAGGGTCTTGATATATAGTTGGCACATGTTGGGCTTCCTGCTTTTTGCTTCTTCTTGGACGATCACATGGAATTTGATGCGATCTGAGGCTTCAAGAAGGGCGGGATGATCGGCATTCGAGTAGAGTGTTCTGGTATTTTGCTAGCAGACTAAGGAACAATATCCATGGCGCGTCGTGAGTGTGTTAGATGTGCCCAGTTCCAATGACGTGCTGCGTTACCCAGGATTTCGTGGCCTCTCACCGATCGTCTCACCGTCTTACGTCATTGACGGGAGCATCCAGTGTGGGGGATACTGAGACCAGCCTATTGCTGGTTGAACAATGCGATCTACCCTGGAGTCTTGACCTGACCTTGCAATGGCATTCCAACGTCTTCACCTCAACGTGGATCCAAGGGAACTATCTTCACGGCAGCGGTTCTTTCGTTTGGTTTCCCTATTACTTGAGACACAGGCGGTATTGAAAATGAAATCAGAAATGAAAGTGGGAATGAAAAAATGAACGACCTATCAAGGGCGATGCAGAAGCCAGCCGAATAAGAATTTCTTAGAATCAGTAAATCTTTGATGGTGAAATGTCACCAATTCCACTAGTTCACTTTTTATGACAACTGAACAATCAAATCAATTGAACAAGCGGGGTTTCGCCCAGGAAGAACCTTTAATTTACGCCTGTGGCGCCTGCTTCTATAAACATATTTTAAAAAATTAACTTTTTTTCTGCCTCAAAAAAATCAAGTCCTCTTCCCAACTTTTCAAAAAATTTCAATTTTAAGCAAATTTAAAGTGGAACCGCCAAAAAAAATGCAGCAAATGAAGTATTCCAGTGCAAGGACGCGTGTGGAGAAGTGGTCGGAGGCGCTCTGTAACACACAAGCGGAATCGATCATCGCGCTCATGGCCCGCCATCTTCCACCCATCCGGAGTCGGCAGATTGGTACCAGACTTGTCTGGGAAGGTAGCAGCACTGGCTCAATACATCGCTAGGCTATAGCGAGTCATTGTAAAGGCCAGATATGCATTCAATCACCTCCTAACTATGCTTAGTGAAGTCGAATGAATGGCGCATCTCTCAAGCATTGATCAACGCCGAGAGCTTTATCCTTTTATTTATTTCAGTTCGTAAAGTATCCAAGAAATAAGGAGGGGTTTTCATATCTACAAGAATGTATAACACTGCAACTGTATGAAGTAAGTATAATATCATCCAAGCAACTCTACACCTAGTCATCGAGCACATTGCTCACGAACCTTCCTCAGCAGTGAACAGTTCGGCTTCGTCAGCACAGGCTTCAAGGTGTGCCGCCGTGCCACCACTAAATCCTCGCCGAGCCGATAGAAGGAGTGCCGCCTAGTGCTCTGAATGAAGTCACAGTTCTCAAAATTCCAGCAATCTTCTTTCTAAGACCTATTTGCGTGTTTTCAACTCTATTGTCGACATATGGTGTTTTCCACCTCTGTCCGTTTTTCACACATTTGTTTCTAATTCTAGTCCCTTTTCATGACCTTGTGAAAGCCTTCATGAAGTAAACGACAAAAACATATAAGACATGTAGAAGAGTACAAATAGTACTAGCAGTAGAATAGTATTAAACCTTTGCAGCGAGCCAAAACTTAACGTGGTTTATCGAAACTCCTAAACTAACCATTCTCGAATCTACTGAACACTTGGTAGCTGTCGTGATTGAACTGCGCATCGAACGGACACTCAGGACGGTGCTCTGAATTCTAGGTAAGAGTCTGTTTACATAGACATTCTGAGAGCCTAAAATTTTGGTAAGGCAAAGGTGAAAAATTTCCATAACGATCAATAGAGAGCAAGGCTTAAGTACGCCCCCAATCACTGGATGAAATTTGCGAGTCCTCAATCTTCGTTCTCATGAAAGTACAAAGATCATTAAGTGATTAACAAATTGAAACACATTCCTTCAACAGCAAGGACTTAAGGAAAATTTTGCACCTACCATCTAAGGAATGTTGCCAAGAAAAAGAGCATCTTTCTATCTAAATGCAAAATGTCTTTTAATGAGAACTATAACAGACGCGGACGAAGCTAATGACTTGAAGGCTCTAAACGAATTATCGGCACAGTGTGACAAGCTATGCGCTACAGGTGCACTGTTGTGGTCACCGAAGCTGTGGAGGAGTGCAACGTTCCTGACCAGAATCTCAAATAAGGATAACAGATGCCATAAATCGTCGCTGTTTGAGAAGATGCCTACTTATAAAGCGAAAATCCCCTCTTTTCATCTACAAACGCTGTCGGCTACGGTGATCACTTAAGAAAGTCATGCCACGGCTGCATCCTACTCAGGAAAAGAAACCTCAAAGCCATAAAATGCAGGTGAAATGGGTTATTGAAAATGTGAAAGCTTATTAAAGATCGAGGTTATAATACTCTTGGGCATTAAATGAAAGAAAAAATGAAATGAGTATTATCCTTTCGACGGTCGATGTACAATCTGTGAAAATGGCATCGGCTAATAGCTGCCCTTAAACATGCGCCTTTTATACCTTCGTGTTTCGTCTCTTCAGAGTGACGAATGGAATTTTCCATAGTTGGTTGAGACGCTCTTCCTCGAATTTGCGATATCTGAATTGAGACAGAACTTAAACGAAGGCTACTAATCTGAAAAAATAAAACTATAGAAGTTAATCCAATAACTTGTTTTATCTTCTTTCAATATTGAATTCTAGCTACTTTGACCGTTTGGAGTAGAATATCTGAGTAGCAAATAGACTAACAATATCTAAAGTGGGAATTCTTATTAGTGATAATTTCTTTGTCACCTAAAGATTCTTTGCTCTGTACTAAATGCTAATGAAAAACTTATAGGGAACCTCAATATGATGATGATTGCCGTGATAAGGATGGCGACTGGCACGATGACGGCCACCAGTGTGATGGCCAAGTACTTCTCGACGAACGTAGGCGGACAGGCGCTCCTCAAGAAGAAGTTTCACAGAATTGAAATGAACGAGAGAACATTGTAATAGGTTCACCTACTTCTGCTGAATGACAGAAACCGATATTCATTTATGCTCAATCATTTTGTTGGCTACTATTCCTATACCACTCAAAATCATAAGTGGAACCATAAAAAAATCTTTGGAAGCTTAAAAAATTACGCAACACTTAACCAATCTTCGGTTATTCTTAATCAGTTTGAAAATAGCAATCTTCGGTGGACAGTTGCTACAGGCCTTATAATTGTTTTAAAATGCAAATGTTGAACGAAAGTAAAGACATAGTCAACAGACCCATCGTAGTCACAACTTGGTCGATTTCGGGGAGGAGAACCTCCACGAGATGCCCACATAACGGAAGGAGGTTGCATGTCTTGAATCTGAGTTGGATCAGATCAATATTCATTGTAACTGTCCAGAAATCGTTTTCCCTATCGAGTAATTACTCATTTATTTAGATAGCTTTTAAACTGCTACGCATAAAATACTTTGGCATAACATCACTTGCCAAGTTTCGACTTCATAAATTCTTTAGGCAGTCTCAGTAGTTGCCACTCTTTTTCATAACAATGGAACGGAAAGTCGACAAGAAGAAAACTGGCTGTATAGGAGAGAAAGAATGCTCACCAGGGTGCTATCCCCATTCAGAGCGCGTTCCGTAATCTTCAGCATAACAGTTTGCTGATTAGAAGAGTTCAGTCCATAAACCAAGAACACTGGATCTCGAGTGCAATTTTCGTTGATGATTACGGTGCCAGAGAACCCTAAGACCCTAACAGTCACACAGAAAATCCTTTTGTTCATTTATAGTAGCAATAGAGCTGTGCAACTCGATAGATTTGTTCAAAATTTAGAAAAGCATGTCAGCTAATTTTCCGTTTTAACCGAACACTTCGCCACTGGTTGTAGGCGCCAATGCGGCACACACGTGAGATCGATCCCAGCTCCCATGGCCCACCAAGCCTTCTATCCCTCTGGGGTCGGCAAACTGGTACCAGACTTGTCTGGGAGGATAGCAGCACTGACTCGATATATTGGTAGGCCACCACGAGTTGTAGTAAAGGCCAGATGTGCATTCAATCACCCACAACGATACTTAATGAAGTCGAATGCACGGCGCATCACTCAGGGATTGATAAACTCTGAGAGCTTTATCCTTTATCCTTTTATCACCTATGTTGCAGTTGATAACTGTGTCACAGGAGAGGTCACAGGTCACCGGCCGAGTTTGCAATCCCTTCCTTTCAACACAACTTCAGATTTTCTTCCTCACTTTAGTGAAGTGACGCATTCATACAATTACATCATTAGTATCAAATTATAACACACCATATCGTAAACATTCTCCCTATCTACTTTGCATTCACATGTCCGAAGAAAAGGAATCACAGATTAGAGAAGGTGAGCACGCTGTCGTTGTCGTTGCCTTTTTTACTAATTGTTCAACATTTGCGTAAGCTTCATGGCTTTGAATGTTATCCTCTTCAGCTTTGGAGTTAAGTCGTCTGTTATATTCGGTTGTAGAGGATCAACGTGCCCTAACTAAGAATGCCGATGTACTCGACTGTTCTGCAGCTTGCGTCTCGGTTAGTTGATGGTCTTCTTTATGTCATTGAAAGTGGGGCATACGACATGTTGGGTCATCGCGATATTCAAACGTTTGTTAAAGGTAGCAAACATGATAAACTCCAGGTATGGGTTTCAACATGGAGTTTTCTCCTGCATCACAATGTGGCCATCTTAATTCAAGAGTCGGGTGTTAATGAGTCCTTGCCATAAGTCCTTGGTGTCTTCTCTTTTTTTGATTCTGCTCATTTCTGATTTTGCTTGAAAATGGTTTCGCACCCTCACGGGCTTTCACTTGGGAACGATTACCACTAGCAGAACATATCCATCTTACTTGAATTAGTGCGAAAGAGAACGCCGTTGTCGAAAAGATCGGAATTGGAGCGCTTAGTGACTCTCACCAGAGTTCTTCTAGGTAAAGTGTTGTCTAGGTTGATGGTCGCCGAGAGCTTCATCCTTTATCCTTTATTCCCAGAACATGTTCAATTTTTTTTGATCCCATCGTCATTGTCAGTTTCAGAACAGTAGGCGACGAAGTCTCGAAGTCGGCACAGGTTCATTTGTTTTCGCCTTTATATTCTTATAATTTTTATTCCAATCGAAAAAGTGGAACCAGCAAGCAGCGATGCCGTGCCACGAAGTAAATGAAGATTTCTCGGCGCTCCAATTACTACATCATTGTGTTTTTGTGGCATCTAAGCATTCTTTTTCCAGCGTCCATGTTGTGCTGCACAAGCTGGCTACCTTGAAAACAGGGAAGCTGAAAAACCTAGGACTTATTGACTCTTCTAAATGTGCACTAATGCCGGTTTCTACTTAGCTGTTGTACAGGTTCCTGGAATGCTTACCTTCAAATTGCCCTGCTGAGAATCGCGCCAAATCAGTGCCAGTGGGTTTCGCAAGCCCGGCGGCTGTGGAACGATTTAGTGCGATCGCGTAGAGCATCATCGCATCCGCCAATTCGGCAACTTGAGAGACACTCTTAAGAAAGTGGATAGACTGCCAAGGTCTTCCTTGCTCTCTATGTTTCTATAATTTTTTGGAAGTAATCACTGAGTCTTATATTTAGGAGAAAGGTTCACAAATTTTGGCCAGCTAAAATCTGTGATTAGCATACCAGTTTTGTCGCAGCACTCATATTTATTAGGAACGCAGAAAAGTAAATTCTTGACATTTTTTACGTCAATGTTAATTTTCACAGAAGAACCAGCGGAGCAATTGAAATAGATACAACTTTAAACACCCATAAAATAACGAGAAGATAGAAGATCAACTCTGGTAAACTGGAATATCTTTTGGGCTCGGAATTACCTACCTCAGAAATATCCTAACAACACCAAGGATTAGAATCATGTTATGAAATCAAATCGAATTATTTTAACCTGCACGTACAGGATTAATGTCGTCACAATCCATGCAGTTGTACGGCGGCTGTCGCATCTTCGCCTTCACATCAGCAACAAACTGCGCAGATGAATTGAGCGGCTCATTATCGATCTGCGTTAAATGAAGTTAAATCTGGTCAGTTTAGTTTCGAGTTCAAACACTCTTATTTATTACCTAAACCTTTTTTATGCCATGTGAAATGCAATCACAAGGACGCTGAGATACGGGGTCGGGATCTCCAAAACCGCGATTACCCTTACCGGGGGCTCACGTGCTATCCATAAATCCAAGCGAGGCCCTTGCCTTTTCTTTCAATTCATCAATGTTTTTATTGCATCGATGTTATCATCAGTCTTCTCGTATATCAGCATCCTTGTGATTGTACTTCACATAGTACCCTGCCGTTAAAAAAGAATGGGCAGTGAATGAAATTACGATATTGCGTTTTTGACAACAAATTTACTGGGTTAGGTGGTTTAACATTAACGGGGCTCGGCGTCGATTTGTTCTCTCCAGATCACTTCTATGAACAGGTGATTGCTGATATCGTCGATAAAGTAGGAACATGACTAAAAAAATGAAAAGCAAGGGTCTCTATTGATGCGCTGTGTAGCACGAGAGCGCTCGTTAAAGGTAACAGCGGGTTCGAAGCACAACTAAGGATCCGAGTTTTACTCGTATCTCAGCACCATTGTGGCGGTATTTAAACTAGAAATCAAATTTCTAAACTACTAGGATAACTCACCACAAAGAATTTTTTCGCGGCCCTTAGCGCTAGATCATCTTTGCCATCCGGTATTGCCTTCGTGTCCTTCCATACATCACCTGACGTGCACGAGTATTATAGGCGACAATTTTACAATTACAAGGAAATCTGCATAACTTTGTATGAAACTTTGAATAAGTGGTCATGATGAGGAACAGCTTAATGGTCGACGCATTGAACGGCGCATAGAGCAGATTTAATAGATGAAGCAGTTAAATGCCTTTGATTGAAGAAAAACTTCAAAGGTCTTACACCTCTTTCAATTGAATAGCAAGATTTGAGGAGATCACGTGCTGACATTTACATAAAATAACAAAAAGTAGCAAGCAAAATAAAAGATTTGGTAGCCAATCTTGCCAAGTGAATACTACCAACCTATAGAGAACTTTTCCAGAGAAAAGTTTCCTATCTTCCTGGACAATAGTATTTGATGTCCATATATGGCCGCCTTGCATTCGCAAATCAAACAATGCAATGTAACCTTTTGTAATCTTCTCGATCAATTATGTTCAGTGTTTCAGGCACAATAGCGATTCAGGTTTGACTTCAGTAGCATAGCGACGATAGCTTATCCGAAGGAGGCGTAACAGTGGAACAGTTTACTACTTCCTTGCGAAACAACGAAGCTAATGACGTTTGATGTTTCAGGCAGTTAGATACGGTCTATTGCGGTCCAGGATCAACAATCCAGATTAACCGCGGTTGCATACGCTCGCGGCTCCCGCAGCCGATATAAGCTAGGTGCCTTCGACGGCGGAGACATGCCATCACTCACCTTACCCCCGATCGGTAGCGCGGATAATCCGCTCCTCACAACCACATCCTCAATCATCCCCAATCACCTCAACTCATTCTTAGTCATAGTCATTCATTCTTATTCAATCACACTCATTCACACACTCACATTCATCCTTCAGTAATCAGCAGATTATTGTATCTTGTTTCTCAGCTTGTCTACGGTGCGATGTCAGTAGTGGCGGGTGTTACCAAATGCGTTCTGTTTGCAACGCCATCGGTGGCATGTACCATTCCTCCCACAATGTACACGCAATGTGTACAATGCCGCTAAGCGGCCAACTTATGCTATGTATTCTGCTAGGCCGCTATAGGCTTATCAGTTTTGTAGCCATTTATCATTTTGGCCCTTACCCTTAGGCAATGGTGGCACCCATCGATGCTCAAAGTTCACGTTGCTGACATATCGTTATCCAAGAGTAGCCACCTGACCGTGTTCCGTAGATGACTCATCATTCACTGTCAATAGCACCGTCAACGCTCATGTAACTTACTGTACTCATCGCTCCACTAAGATACTCCTCATCGCTATAATGTTGAAATCTTAGCTTGGCCGAAACACGGCCAGTCTGTAACCCTCACCACCTCACCATACTGTCTCCCTCTCCGCGGCATACAGTCTTCTTTCACCGTCCCTAGCATACCGCCTCCCACATCCGCCGCACTGGCCGCGGTTGACGCGACGCGGCATCGCTCGTGGCTAACCAACGGTTACTTCTTTGTAATCATTTATTATTACTGTTAATATTGTATTAATGGTAAAATAATTTTTGAATGCCATTGCCTCATTATTAGCCTCACTTCACTACAGGCCTTAGCACCCCGAAGCTCTAACTTGTCTCATTCCTCTACCAGTAGTTCTCTGTCGTTACTATTATGTAATCAGTGTTGTATTTATGTATTAAAGGTTTAATTACCCAAGTTTTAGGTTGGTAGATCAACTACATTAATAGAAAGACCCACGTGGCTAATATTCTACATCAATCTGAACCGCTAGACTCCGCTGCTAGCCATTTCGTTACATATTATTCCACTATTTTTCTCGGGTGCTGGTGGTGGATTTGGCTGCTGGTTATGCTTGTTTTGGCTTCTGAATATCACTGAACGTCGCTCAAGTAGATTCCTCACTGAATCCTGAGACAGCCGTGCAAGGGCGCTCCTAGATTTTTTTCATCATAGGCACATGGCAGGTTTTTAGTCGATCAGAGGAATTGAGTTGATTGTTGACAACTTTAGTACCATTTCCGTAACCCCAAGAGATAACGGATTTAGGTCGCTTAGAGAGTGGAAAAAAGCACGCCGTAGGCTAATGGAAGGACGTCGCTACACTATGCTAGCTGCGCTTTTATATCTATGAAAGGTTGCCTCTCCTTAAAACATTACCGATTTTCGATAACTGCTGATAGTTCTTGGATAACTGCAGTAGATAACGAGGGAAATTTTGTTCTATCACCTTATAGGTACATATATTTTTCAAAAATCACTTTTATTTTCATATGCTTAAGTATACATACCGAACCCTAGTTTTCGCGTCTCAATCATCAGCCAGACAAAGTCATCGGTGTCCATACCTTCTTCAGCTATCGAAATCATTAAGTTTCGCCGGGCTTCATCAGATTCCATGCAAACAACTACGACTGAAAACTAGAACACTATTTCGCCTTTATTCTTAAAATCACGAGAAACCATTAGAAATGCGGAGAAAGTTGTTGACCGACTTCGTGACACCTGTTTGATGGAGTAAAGAGTGCTTTTGAAGGTGGTCAGGTTGGCACTTGTGAAGTGACGGCGATACGTTATCGTCACGTTCTCATTGTTGTTGCCCAAATTCTGAAGCGCACTTAATCATCTGCTTAAAGGTTGAAATCGCTTACAATTGTTCTTGTGCGTTGAGATCAAATCGTTTGATTCCGTCGATCGTTTAACTTCACTTGACAGCACTTTGCATATTTCGACGTCAAGCAACCAACGGCAAGCATACAAAATCAAGAGATTCTCAAGTTGCGTTGAATTCAAGAAGTGGAACAACTTGAATTGCATCAGCTGGTAGGAGCCTCAAAGTGGCCGATATATAAAGAATAATGAAGTTTTGAGCACTAAGTATTTCTATAGAAATCCGACAGTACTTGTAACAACCCTATCAATTTGCAGCACGCTATCTATATAAAACAACAAAGACCTGCCTCAAGGTCGGCGATGATCAACGAACAGCGTGGTATGGCATGAACCCTCGCCGTGTAATAGACCACCGCTACCTCGCTCCACTGATATCGCTCGAATAGGAGTTCCAGTATGCGAGCCTGACTGTAAATCAAAGAAATCGAACGGATCTCCAATCATCCACAGGGAAATCATTCCACAAAAAATAAGTGGCTGTTCGCATGAGAATTCGCTCGATTCCATAGTTGGTGTTGATCTGTAGGGGTAAGCGCTATTCAAACAACAAAGGCTACTTCATTCATTCTCGCGTCAGCTTAATAATCTAGGAACACACATGGATCCGTTCAATTTTTTTCAAAATAGATGTTGTTCTATTGCCGAAGATGGTTTGAAATGATAGTATCTTGGCTGGTCACTTCAGATCTTCACAAAAACGATGTGGTAAAAACAATGGACAAGCAATTCTCTGCTGCTATCTATTTTTATAAGAATTCCGCCATTTATTCTAACTTATAAATCTACCATATTACATACAACCACAGTGATGCTGAGATATTTGCAAAACTCCGGACCGTAGGTGTCTGCAATGGGGAACGAACGGGCTCTTACTCTTTCCGTGGACTAACGCGTTTACCACCACACCATGCGGGTCCTTCGTTTCACCTGTCTCTTAGCTAGTTCTATCGATTGGTGCCATCAGCAATCACCCGTCAACAGGATTGATCTGGGAAGTCCAAATCGGCAACGAACCCAGTTAAGATGAGTCGAAATCACAATATTTTATTTACTGCCTACTACAATTCTTCACGGCAGGGTGTTTTGTGTGATGCAGATAAAAGTGGTTTCGATTACAGCCTCGGCTTAACTGGATTAGCAAAGCTAGGAACCCCCGTTGGGTTTCGAACCATCGGATCGAGAAATCACGTACTATCCAACAGATCAACCGAGGTCCTTGGTTTTCCTCTTTCTTGGTTATTTTTTATTTTATCAATACTATATTACCTGTCAGGGGAAACGATCTGGGATGATTGCTAGTAGCACTGATAGAGTGAAAAAAAGCTGAGAGAACGCCAAAGCGAAGTTCTCGGTTGATGTGGCGGACAGCACGTAAGTCCCTAGTAACGGCAGTCGTTGTTTCAAAGCTCGCCTGAGGTTTCGAGCATTGCTCGTATCTCAACATCCCCATGGTTGGATATCAAATCGTACCTTGCCATGAAGAAAAGAATAGATGGATAATGAAGCTAAGATGTTAGCACTTCAACATACTCAGCTGAGGAGAGCGTTTTAAAAGGTAGCATCCATTTTTCTCTCTCGCTCTTGTCTTACAGAAACTTACGGCAGAGAATCTTGCAGTGATAGGTAGAGCACCTATGAGCGAATTGTGGGTAGAAGTTCTTGATGATCAAGCAGCGAACCAACCTGATTGAACTCCATGTGGTTGCCATCACTGTGGGATAATCGTCAGAGTTCAGCAACACGGAAGAGAACGTGGGCGCCCAAATGACCATCGGAAAGTTGAAATATTTGCCCACGATTCCGGATACAACGGCAGCTAGAAAGCAGATCACTTTACACTAGAACTGGTTCATTAAATCATTTAGAGGAGAAATTGTTCAATTTAAATGAAAAACTCAAAAAAGACATCTTCGACGAAAGACAAATTCTTTGTACGACAACAGTGGCACCGATCGTTCATCATCCTCAGATTTAAAGTTGCAAATCTTTTCATCTGCGTAAAGGCCAAGAAAAGTTGATAATCAATAGAATGGGTGACCCAATTATAACTTTTCCCGTGAAGTTCCCACTTGACTGGTTGTTGACACTTTCATTCGTCAGCAGATGATGATGAAAAGATGAAAGAAAAATCAAAACAAAGTGAGATGATGACTAATTTTGTATCATTTTGGATGAATGCCGTTAATACATTTATCATGATGACAGCAATTTTCAACTTGTAGCAAATTTTCTTAACCATTTGCTTCTTGCCCACTGAGGAAAAAAGGAACACTTAAGAAATCTTCTGCAATCTTTGAGGTGCACTTCTATAATATCGAAAGCGTATAGTACTTAAGGAAGTAAATGTACTTGGTATTAGAAATCCTCAAAGCTCCATGAAAATCTTTTATTAATCACGTACATGATGAGCACGCCGGTCCCAGCACGACGTCAACGCCATTTCTCACCCACTCGATAATCGAGCCCGCGTCTAGCGAATTATCGCAATCACTTATTACCCACGTCAAGCTGAAAACATTGTGCTCGCTTAACCACCGATGCCACTGGTGTACAATTGTATATTGACTCACTTGATCACCTGGATAAGTGGGGTTCTTACTCTATTGAATTTAGTCATTTATTTAGCTAACAAATAAAATGGAACTTGACCTCTGGCACTCGACTAGTACTGCTGTTTACTTACTTGTATACTTGGATGGCCCGTCCTCACAGGTTGAGTGGGCTAAAACGTAATTTCCATTTTTTCGAAGTTTTTCTGGTTTAACCACTGTGTTTTTCTGGAGTCCCAAGGTCAGCCGTGCCAAAAGTCTGCCTCAGGTTGTCACCACCACAGTTCTTGTGAATCAGACAGAGATTTGCCACCGTGCGACCATTATCAGGACAGTGAGAGATCCTGGTATTGCTTTATTCTTTGCTGAGTTTCCTCATGGAAACGGACTCATTCTCAGCTTGGGTGAGCCTGCCAGAGAGATGAAAACACCCGCTGTACATCGCAGTCCGAAACCCAGGAACACCTACCGGCCACGATGAGGCGGTGAGCTGTTGGGAGGCTGCTGTTTGACACGCCCATATCCTTAGTACAACGGCTAGTCAGTCCTTCAATCTCTAAAGTCTAATCTCTAAAATGACCTTTTCATGGTTGAGAAACTGGTGCCACACCTGCTTGAAGAAAACGCTCTTTAATCTCAAGGAATGGCAACCACTTGTGATGACGACAGCGCCATTTCACAGTTATCATGGAATTAGAGAAAGAACCAAGTCGATCAAAATCCAATGAGATTCATAAGATTAAGGGTTGTCAAACAGCAGTTGGAGTTACACACAGACCTTTCCGATGATGAATACGAGAAAATGAATCCAATGAAAAAGTGCTCATATTAGGTCAATACGTGATGCTCACCACTTCAAACGAGTATGAACGGAAAGCGTATGTGTCTGCGCACGGCTCATTCGAATAATCACGAAGCTAGGTCGCGTCATCAGGTTTCCTGCCTGATAAAAGGCTCAGCGGGAACCATGGTCAACCGTGCGTACTATCGCCAGAAATAGGAAAGCAACGCTCTTATACAGAACTAGAAATATTCGCCTTGAGTGAGTTATGCGTAGCCTCCTCTGCGATACTAATGCGGTAGCGATAAGTGGAAAATCTACTCACATCCGTTCAAATTACTTGTTATGTAGAGAATAAGTAATACAGGAAGCGATTATATAATTTTGTGTGGCTTCAAACTCACCATTCAACCTAAAAATAAAACATTTGTTGCATCGTTGTAGCAGTGCTTCTAAACTAGGGCTATTGTGTCATTTGCCCAATTCCAAACCGTTGTTGATTACGACGAACGGTTTATTTTTTTTTTTTTGATATCGTACAAGCATGCCACAATGTGGGCTCTAGGGAATCTACATTTAAAACGAAGGTCAGGCTGGCCGATCGTGCTATGAGACCGATAATCCCATGTACATGCAAGGGTAATATAGGTGCCGTCTGGAATGCAAGGTGCGCCAACGGCCTTATAGTTCATGTAGATTATCTGTATTTGTAACTGAAAACAACCCATAGATTGTAGAATGACACTGGCCCATGTCATCACTTTGGAACAGACATCACCTTATCGAGAACGACGTAGTTTCCACAATGCTCTTCTAATCCAGGTGTTCAAATGAGTGATGTATGATTTAAATTTCGGCAATATTAGTCACAAAGAAAATTGTATTGCATTGGAAATTGGAAAAGGCATTGTATTTCCGAACCTAAGTCAAAAAGAACCTATTATATTGTACGATTCAGTTCCAAAATTCGAAAGTTTTTAAATGGCCACATACTTTAGTTCACTGTACTCAGGAAGAATGCCGTCGCGTTGAATTTTGTCCCATGCGACGCCTACTGCACCTGCCGTTTCTCTCCATCCGATAAACTGAAACGTCATTTATTATAGGAGGAATAAAAATTTATAGAACACACAAGGTAAAAGAATTACCGGTGCGAGCTGTGTGTCATTTCGTGCGAACAAAACTCCGACGTTGAGAATCTGGAACACTTCCTCAAGAAATTCGTTTGATTTCCCATTAAGAAATAAGGAAAAGATACCATCCGATATTTTATAACCCAAAGATGGTGTTTAAGAAGACTATACCTGCTTAAAAAGAGCGCTTGTGGCGCAGTGGTGGGAGACACCCTGCAACACACACATGGAACCACCAAACCTTCCATCCCTCCGGGTTCGGCAAATTAGTACCAGACTTGTCTGGGAGGATTACTGCACCGGCTCGATATATCGGTAGGCCACCGCTAGCTATTGTATAGACCAGATATGCATTCAATCACCTCCAAACTATGCTTAATGAAGTCGAATGCATGGCGCATCCTTCAAGGATCGATCAACGCCGAGAACTTTATCATTCATCCTTTATTATATCTGCTTAAAGTGGTTCGTAAGAAAATATCTTCCTTGGATTAGCTACATCTACATGCGGCGTTCTTATCCAGAAATTTTCCAGCACAATTGCACACCTCGATGGGAACCCATATCACTGAATTTTAAGCTGCGAATTCTTTATTTGCCATATCATTCCCAATCAACTGATTTTAAAAAACCGCAAACGCTAAAAACTAGAACTATCAAGGGTAGGAAGTCACATGAAATCTCGCGTGATCCTACTACATTGAACAAAAATAATAAAGAAGACTGACATACATCGATTAAATTATGGGATTCTTATCATATAGGGAGAAAACATTTGGCCAAGGAACGTCATTCCCATAACCGTTGTCATTCCTCTGACTATTACGCCGTTGAAACTGCTATTAGCTGGCTCATGTAACTGACAAGAAAGAATTGACTGCTTTCGATGACGCGTTAGAAGAAGCGATCCACAACTAAGGTTTTGCACGTTTCCTTTAGAAATTTCAGCGATAGCGAAAAAAAGAACAGTGGAAGTGGATAAATGGACAGAAAAGCTGAAATAGGGAACGAGCGAAACCTGAAACTGGAGTCATGGAACTAGTTCGATGTATGTAGTAACTTTTTTAATAAAATTATGTTTGTGAATTTAGAAAAAAGACAGCTTAATATGGGAGTCACTCAGTAAGAACAATTAACGTAGGGATTGATCCGGCCGTGAAAAATATGTTACCTTTTCGGAGTAATCACTGTACTACTGTTTTCATCGTGAGGCCTGGTCACTTTATCCCTCATGCAAAAGTGGAATTTCGCAGTTTCTCTCATTTAATTCTGAATGAAATTGCTGGGAGGCCTGCTAACCTTTGATTGCAAGACAGCGATAAGAACGACCAGCAACAATACGATGGTCCACGTCATGTCTACTGAGGAGGGCGTCGAGGTTGGTGTTCAGGACCATAGAGCAATGAGCTTACACTTGAAGCTCTTCATGAAGTTTATTGCCTGAAACCCCTTAAGCTAGTATGTAGACAAATTGCAACATTCGGTTTGCCAAAGACCAGCATTCTGGATCGGCATTTCGGAAACAGCTGACATTCTAGAAAAGTTAAGTCGCGTCGTTTAATGGAATGTATCGTTTCCAATTTCCTCCCGTACCGGTGAATTATTCCGTACGAAGATTGTTCTTGTCGTCAAAAGTTACAAGAGCATTCACATTTGGTAAAAGGCCATATATTTAAATGTAAGTGTCATTTGTAAATAACAAGTGTACAAAAAGTGAACAAAAAGTGAACAAGCATTTGATAATTCTAGATTGGCACCTATGAACGTTCGGTAATTTGCATAACTTTTATTACTCCCCATTATTTTGTCACAGCATAATACCCCGCCGTGAAAAAACTATGGGTAGTAGGTAAAAGTTATACACTATGATTTCGACTACATCCTCAGTTTAATTGGGTTTAATGCCGATTTGTGCACTCTCCCACCCTACAGATCATTGCCGCTGACAGGTGATTACTGATGGTACCATTCGGATAGAAAAACTGGCCGAAAGAAAGACCAAGCAAAGGCCTAAGTGGTGCAGTTGGTTTCACTAGAGTCCCCGCAAGGGGTAGCAGCGGATTCGAAGCTGGCTTGAGGTCCAAGTTTTGCACATATCTCAGCATCATAGTGGTTCTATTCGGCAGTTTGTTTAAACTATTATCAAACCTTTTTGCCTACTTGTTCTTTTTCGCACACTGTCGAACTATTAATTTTGCTTCTACTAGAGAGCATCTCAAAGTGAAAATTCGGCCTTCTATGTCATCCTCGATTGGCCACAGGAATTGATACCGTCCTAAAGGGTGCCTGCTCGCTGGGAAAAGTCATGTGTATCGCATGCACCACCTCCGACCAATGTATGCATGCCTCCATAAAGAAATAAACACAATCATAGTCAGATACAAATAAATTGTATTAACTGTTTCTGGTCGATGAATAAGTGAAACGAGAGCCATTAAATTTTCCATTCCTCCTCTTCACGTGAAAGGTTAGCCCAGGGGACCCTACTCTCTCCATGGATATTCTCACCACCATAACTTTTCTTGGATTTACGTGAAGAAATCTGACAGTCAGGTTGGTGATGCCGATGCCTTCCAAAATACCATTAGTGCTGCGGTGATCTCACCGAACCCATCCATGATGGAAAGATTACTTCTTATCTTCAAAAAAAAATTGGGTCCTATAATTAAAACTTCCACTAAAGTTAGTGCAGCAACTTGCGGATAGAAACTGAATGCGAAGACTTTATGCATTCTTTTCTATACACTTTCCAGAGCACCTGACAGTACTTCGCCAACGTTCCTTCACCGGCTTGGTCAACATATGAATCGCATAAAAGGTTGGTGTGGAATCGATAACATGGTTTTCAGGTCACATAGGAACAGAGAGCGACCAGTGACTTCATGCTTAGAAGTAAATTTTTTATAAGTCGTATGTAATGCTGAGACATTTGCAAAACTCCGGACGCAGGTGTATGCGGTGGGGAACGAACACGCGCTGTTGTCCTTACCGTGGAGCAGCGCACTTCACCACCACACTATCCGGGTCCTTCGTTTTGCCTGTCTCTCAGCTAGTTCTATCGATCTTTTTGCCATCAGCAATCACCCGTCAAAGGGATTGATCTGAGGAGCCTAAATCGGCATTGAACCCAGTTAAGCTGAGGCTTAGTTATAATCACAATCGTGATTGGATTCGACACGTTGGTGTACAGTGCGGTAACGTCAAAAGACTCCATCACGTACGCGTTACGTAGACGTTCTAGGAACATTTGGGTGTTTGTGAGGTGAGCTGGAATGTGGTCAAGCAACTGGGTAAGTATCAGGCTTAAAAACCAGGTCATTCTATCCGTTGGCCCGTCTACACGCTGATGATCGGTCTAATCTTAAATGATGACGGATTGGTTGACGCATGATCATCAGGTGATACCAACCTATGTGTTTTAATAAGTAGGTATAGGACGAGACATGTTGATCTATCGATTTTAAAGTGCGAAATAACCGATGATTTTAAACCCGCAGCCTTTTCCACGCTGACCCATTGATTGTTTAGCTTTCGGTATTGACTTTTATATTCCTTCTCAGAGGATGGGCGATAGAGAGTAGCATCACTAAGATGTTCCTCTCTTATCTCAACATCCAGCTGGTGAGGGATAACTACCGCACTGTACACCAACGTGTCGAATGACTCCGCAATGCAAGCCATCTTCGAACTTCTTGTTGAACATGAAGGAAGAATAAATATGCATGGCTTGTCCATCCAGCAGCTAATGGCTCTCTTAAAGGAGTGCCTAAACTGCTCGATTTTCAGATGGTCTGGGAAATATTTCGCGCAAATAAGGGGGTTGGCAATGGGACAGCGATTGGCACCAAGCCTTGCCATTGTGTTTATGTCTAAGATAGAAGCCCCTGTTCTCGATCTCCGGCCACTACTCTACTGCAGATATGTAGATGATTGTTTTGTCGTCTTCTCTACGCAGGAGGAGATGGACAAATGCTTTGAATTATTGAATTAGCAGTCCGACTACATAAAACTCACTCGGGAGAAACCGAGAAAAAACTGGCTTCCGTTTTCGGACGTTCAAATAAACCTATCAAGTAGCGGTTACCTGACAAAGTGGTATCGAAAGCCAAGTAACAAGAACATTCTTGTTCATTTCCTTTCTTCCCACCCTTCACACACAAAGAGGGCGATTGTGAGAAACATGTTTCGAACAGCCACCTCTGTGTGCACTACCAGGGAACTAAAGGAAGAATCGTGCGACTTGGCTCGGCAAATAGCCATCTCCAATGGCTACGAAATGGTAACCCCACGAGGTAAGTTTACAAAGAGAACGACGCGCCCACGCGAAACACTTGGCCAAAAGAAAATCCCGTTTATGTTTCCTTTTATAAGCGATGAAGTAAGCGTAACGTAGAGTAGCCAGTGGTTTTTAAACGAATCTGGCTGTTGCAAGCGTCAATAGTACATTTGGGGAAAGCATTGTATCGTTCTGGTCAAAATATACCTTGTTCAGCCACTTTACTTCACAGTATACTACTCTAGTCAAACACAAAATGAAAAGCGTGAGCTTTTGTGCTTTGGTGGCAAAATTCTGTGGGTTCTAACTGTTCTAATTTTAATGCCAACTTTTTATCTGCTACCTACTACAATTTTTTATGGCAAGGTATTATGCGAAATCCAACCACATTGGTGCTGATATATCAGTTTCGCTGACGGGTGGTTGCTGATGGCACTGATCGATAGAAAACTAGAGGAGAGGCAGACGAACGAAGGACCCGCATTGTATGGTGGTTAGCCCCCGAAAAGGATAATATCGCGTTCCTTCCTCACCGCAGTCACCTGCGGTGCGATGTTTTGCAAATATCTTAGCACCATTGTCGTCTAATCTTAGTTAACAAAATTCACTATGAAATAAGACATGTTTGTTTAGAAGTGAAGAAGTATATTCTCATTGTCCAACGTTTGCGTCATATGTGACCCATATAGTGGTGAACGTTCTAAAGATTTATGCCAAAATTCCTTGATAGATGTCTTCAACATTGACGTTAACTCTTTTCTATTTTTTCGTGCGTTGATGGTATCTGCAAATACACATGCCTTTATTCCAGGCTTATGACGTCACCCCTTTCCTCTGTGAACATCTTGGAGGAGCTGAAGCAATTACAGAATTTGCAGGAAAAGTAGGACTCTGCAGGTTTTTCTATCAAGATTTTTCTGAAATGTTTTTTAAAATTTGAATTTTCAGGATGCTACTGCTTCATATGAAGATACAGGTCATTCAAAGGATGCAAGAGAAGTGACTAAGGAATATCTTATAAGTGCGCAGTTTCCAGTTATTTCTTTTTGTTTATCAACTTTGTAGACGTGCTTAGCAAATTTCGGAATTTCCAGGTAGATTAATAACTGACACAGCGTCTTGCAGTTTAAGCACCACGAACACTACCAGCAAGGGCCCATCGTCTGGTGCTAACTGGCGAGACATAATATTTTCTCCAACTTGGTCCAGTTACTATTTCAACTACTGTGCAAGTATTGTCATAGTTGTTTTCGTACCTTAGAAAGGCTTTTTTCGGATATTTGTTTGAATCTCCTTCTTTCTTTGTTGGTAGGACCCGTTACAGAAGTACTTATCTGCCAATGTATTACTACACATCTTTTCATGCCATACTGTAGGTGCTCCATCTGAATCGTTTCGTTTTATGCTTTTACCGCATTATTGCGTTAGTCCTATTAGAAAAAGTAGTTATTGCTTGCACATCAATGTTTTCTTTGAAAGCTGTGATAAGACGAATATAAAAAATTTACAATCTTAACCCTTTTATTTATTGCCTTTTTCTTCTTAATGGCAGGGTATGTTGCGAAATATAAGTCGTATGTAATGCTGAGATATTTGCAAAACTCCGGGCATCACGGTCACTACGTCACGCTTTCCATCGGCCCAGTGTATCCTCCTCATGATCATCCTGATCCTCATCCTCGTGTCAATTTCATTGTTTATCAATTGGTCTGCGGTGTGTTGTCAGTAGCGGTGGCTATCCTCAAGTGCGATCTGTCTGAGATGCCATTGGTGGCATGTACCATTCCTCCCACACGGTACGCCATGTGTACAAGGCCGCTAGCCGGCCAACTTATGCTGTGTATTTGTTAAGCCGCCATAGGCTTACCATTTCTCAGTCGTTATCTTTCTGGCCTATAATCTCTTAGGCAATGGTGGCACCTATCGATGCTCAAACTTCACGTTGCAGACATGTCGTTATCCAAGAGCAGCCGCCTAACCGTGTTCCGCAGATATCTCATCTCGTTCGTAGTCACTTCCACCATCGATGCTTATGTAGCTGGCTATCCTCATCGATTAATGTGCAAGTGCACCAAGCCGCTCTACATACGAACCCTAGCTTAGTCTAATGCAGGCTTATCTGCATCTCACTCGTCTGTTGTTCTAGCCCTCGGCATCTGGGCCACCGTGCGCGCCAGTACGGGAGCCATCATTCGTATCCCCTTACTTGTCATTGTTATGAAGCTGCTGTTATTATAGTACTAATGTTGTAGTAGTATTATTTACAATACTCTTATGCCTTCGTAAGTCTCACTTTAATAGTAGGTACAGCACCTCATAGCCTTGAACTTGCCTTATTTGTGTGTCAGTAGTTCTCTGTCGATATTAGTGTTGTATTGATGTTGCATTTATGTATATAAATGGTTTAATTACCCAAGTTTGAGATTTTCTTTGTGACAGCTACGAAAAGTCCCGCGTGGCATTTTCTCACGAAGTTGAGCATTCTGCTAAAAGCTAGTGATTATTCGGTGCCGAGAACTGACTCGAAGGCCTATTTTCGACTAGCAACTACAATATATAGTGTCGTGTATTGTGTTCCATTGGTCTGTCAAGTCCACAGACTCTTAAGCACTCTAGCTATTAAAAGATCCTTCGAAAACGGTTTCTATTTAGATGTGCTCTTTTGTGAATGTAATCGCTTTTAATCAATAAACATTACAGTTTAACAATAGCGATGCAACATCAACGTCAAATTGTGATATTTGGTGTTTTCCCAAATGACCTTACAAGCAGGAAATACTTTGATTGCGGCAGTAAACTGAAGAACTAATTAACATTAGGCCTCTCCAGCTCTGTTTACCACCATCTTTGGCTGCCAGAAAACAAGAATCTTCTGATTTTGACCAGAGCTTTATGTCGCTTGCTGCACCTTGCTGCAAGAAGCAACTTCGAGTGTAAAACATGGAAAACTGAACACTCGTCTTCCTTCAATGTTTGTTTACTGTCTCAATATTTTGATTTGATCTTTACTTTTTTCGTGTGGTGTCAATGCTTCCAATGAGCTCGGTAACAACAAAAACGCTAAAACATTGGTAATTAACCTTATACGCACGTAAAACCTGTAATATATCATGAAAGTCCTTGAAAAATGTAGTATCAACATTGGAAAAAATCGTGAAAGGAGATTTATTTGTACTCAGAAATTGAGTCGATAATGGGTTTATGGTTTCCTTGAGAAACGTGCTTTCCAAAAAAAATCTCTTAGAGTGAGAGCTGACATACTACTAAAGACGTAACAAACAATGAAGGCTAAAGCATTTCGGATTTATCAAGCCTTTAGGCATGTTCCGTGTGCCCAGTCCCATTCAACTCCAGTAGAGATCGCAGGAGGTATTGAATGCATTAAGCTATATAATGAAAAGCGAGGTCCTACCGATGTATCAATTCTGTGTTTATTCTCCTGTTTTGCACCAATAAGCCTTGGAGAGGTGAATTTGGTTAACCGCAGAAAGGGCATTCAACCAACAATCACGTGTGGATAATCAGAGATCGAAGAAGCTGCCTCAAAAAAAAACTGCAACCTAATGCTTATACAATCCTTTCAAAACAAATTTGTATACTATAATTCTAGCAATCCTACCGCAGAGGAATTGCGGTTCTTTCATTACACAATTTTGGTCTTGCATCAATGTTCTTTACCGCCACAATTTCATTTTAACCTTAGAGTTTGAATATCATAAACATTGTTTACGTGATAGGAAATCCAAAGCTAAATACAGAAGATACACTTATCAAACAGCTACCGCAGGACACCTAGCTTCTATGTAACAGTTTTAAGTACGCAGGGAAATGAAGCAAAGCGGTAGAAAGCGTGAATGTATTTCGAGATGGGGTCATAGTGCTCAAACGATTATAGAACACCTATGTTCTATAAATATAGAAAAGTTATAAGATTTCGACCAAAAATCAAAAACGATTACCGGGAATTTACACATGGGTCATTTCTATCACACAACCCAAACAGCCTATGCACCAAATTCGGATATTCTAGCTGTCGAACTACCACAAATTTTCTGATCCTGACATAGCCCTAATCTTTCTCTCCGATCTTATGGTAATTTCAGTCTTAAATTATACAAAATAGCAATCACAGACCTTCTACTACAACTTCATAACTAAGACGGAAAAACCACAAAACCGAGATTTTACTTACTTGGATACTTACTTGGATGGTCCGTCTTCACGAGCTGTGCGGAACCCAGCACATATGTCATTCGTTCCTTTCTCTCCCAATCGTAGTCCATTGTAGTGGTCTTGTTCGAGCATGGCAGCGCTTGCGAGTCTCATACCATGATCTGTAAAACAACTGCAGCTGCGGGTACAGCTGATTAACTTTGTTTACGAACACGTCCGCCCAACGTGTAGGTGGTCGTCCAAGAGAACGTTTGCATTCTCTTGAAGTCCACTTCACCGTTCTTTTCGTCCATCTATCATCGGCTCTTCTCATTATGTGACCGGCCCATCTATGTTTCGCTGTCGATGTGTATTCTTTTGAATCTCGAAGACGTGACAGATTTCGAAGGTCAGAGCTTCGCATTCGGCTACATATTGAGAGTGCCGGTTATATTTCGGGAGCCATCGCTCATGCGTTCTGTGAGTAGTTCGAAGCATTCTTTACGTAGTTGAAAAATCAACCCAAGTCTTTGCAGCATAACAGAGTGCTGGGAGGACCGAAGAATCGATGAGACGAGCGCGGATTTTCGGGTTCTCCAGTTAGTCGGTGGCTTCTTTGGGAGGCCCGAATGCGGCCCAAGCCGCCCTCCTTCTTCTATCTAGTTCCTCCTTCATGTTATTTTCCATGTTCACTGATCGCTCAAGGTAAACGTACGAAGTGGTTTCTGCAATGAGAGAGCCATCCAATTTAATTTTCTCCCCTTCACTCCATGGATTTTTCATGAACTGGGTCTTCTTTCGTTTTATGCGAAGTCCGATCTTTTTCCCCGCTTCCCTGAGCTCGTTGATCATCACTTCTGCTTCGCTAGTACTTCTTGAGAAGATGTCAATGTCGTCGGCAAAACGAAGGTGTGATAGGAATTTTCCATCAATACGTATGCCTTTCCCATCCCAATCGAGTGACTTCATTATCCACTGCAGTGCGGCACTGAACAGCTTTGGCGACATATTGTAAGAGGTCGATGGAAAAACTGCATTTTCGTAGTGCAGTTCCGATAACAGTCGGACAGAGTCCCTATGTGGGACGGCTCCACTCCTTGGCCGACGAGCGCTGATAGGGTTGCATTCGGTTGGACACTGTCAAACGCTTTTTCATAGTCGACAAAGGTTAGGACTAGAGGCAAGTGGTATTCCCGACAAACTTCGATGACCCTGAACAAGAAACAATCTCCATGGCGTGTTGTGCGTGTGTTGGTCAGATCCGATTCCAATGACGTTCTGCGTAACCCGAGATTTTCTGGCCTCTCACCGGTCGTCTCACCGCCTGACGTCATAGACGGGAGCACCCAGTGTGCGGGGTACTGAGGCTGGCCTATTACTAGTCGTGCAACTTGGTCTACCCTGCAGTCCTGACGTAGCCTTGCAAGGGCGCATCCAGGTCCTCACCACGATGTGGATCAGAGGGAGGTGTGTTTTCGCCGACGAATCCTTCGCTTGGTCTTCCTACTAGTTGATTCGGAGAGATGTCAAAACCAAAATCAGAAACGAAAGTAGGAATGTAAAACTAACCGACGGCTCAAGGACGATGGAGAAGGCGAAACCAAAACCGAGATTTTAATCACACTAAAGCCAAAATAGCTTCTTCGCAAAGCCACCGCTTTCTACAAGTCTTCCTCTGCGTATTTCGCATCAAGGTTAACCGCGCAACGTTCACATGGAAGCCTAATGTGCTTCTCTCGGATTAAGATATCTGTCTGGGACATTGTGTGAGATCACGTGTGATAATGAGGCATTACCCCTTTCGGTCGGTTTCTGGATCCATGGAATTTATCCAGAATCTTCCCAGAGTTTTTTCGCGCTGAGGTTTTCGATCCTTGTGCGAGGATGGTACCTTCTTTCTCAAGATCTTCCACGTTATGTCTTCGTGTCCTATGCGCTCCTTTGGCTTAACTTTAACTTTCTCGACTAGGTGTTCCTTTATACGAAACCATAGTGGTCCACGCGTTTCAGCAATCTATTAATGTAACATAATTACAAGTGTTCCTTAAGTTGTTAAATAATCACCCAATATAGGAACGATCTGATATCATTGCGAATACTCTAAAAAAC